TTTAAATGTAGAGACTGTGTTGTTTCTTTTTTAACTTCCTTGGTGACCTATTGGTTAACTAGAAGTCTGTTGTTCTATTTCTTTGTGTTTGTAAAATTCTTATGATTTATTTGCTACTCATCTCCAATTTCATCACACTGTAGTCTGATAATATAAGGGGATAACTTCAATTCCTTTGCAATTATTTAAACATATTCTATGACAAAATATGTGGTCTATTTTGGGGAACAACCCATGTGCACCTGAAAAGAATGTGTGTTCTGCATTTATGGGGTGGAACACTCTGTAAACATCTGTTTAAGTTCATTTGTTCAAGAACTTGATTGAGTTCTAGTATTTTGCTGTTTATTTTATGTCTAGTTGATCTACTTGTGACAGTTGGATATTGAGGTCCCACACTACTATTGTATTAGTGATTATTTAATTTTTCATTCCCATTATTATTTGTTTTATATAGTTAGGTGCACTAGTATTTGATGGCTATATATTTATGAATGTCATCTCTTCCTCTTGGAATGTTCCTTTTACAAGGGTGTAGTTTCCTCTTAACTAGTGTTGGTCTGAAATCTATTGGATCTTCAAATAGGATAGCTACTCCTTTTGCAGGGGGGTGGTTCTTCCACATGGACTATTGTTTTCCACCCTTTAACTTTCAGTCCAGGAGTTTCTTTTTTCTCATTGAGTTTATTGGTACATTTTAGGTATACAGTACAGTTGCATTCATCTTTGGGATCTTGTACCCTTACATGACAGGTCTTGGTTCTCATTTTTTCCTCTTATCCCTGCCCTCTCTTCACCCCCTTCTCCCTTCCCTATTTACAAATACTTTATTTCCATTTTTTCATATTTTTTTTCTTTTCCCTTATTACCTTTCCCCTACCCTTCTCCCTTCCCCTACAGCTTTAGCCCTTTTCTTCCTATTTCACGTTGTCAATTATATCATTAGGATCTTATATACCATTATAGTTCAGGAATTTCTTTTTGAATTAAGTGTGTTTCTTATGTGCAGCATTTTGTTGGATCTTGCTTCTTGACCAATTCTGCAAGTGTGTTTCTTTAGATTGGTGAATTGAGATAATTAACATTGATGATTGTAACTGACATGTATTGATTTATACTTGTAATGACTTTTTCTTTTTTTTGGATTCTTTGCCTTTGCATTGAATTTCTTGTTTTGCCTGATGGATTCATTCTTCTGGACTTGCTGGGGTTTTGATCCTCATTGACTTTTCCTAGGATACTGTTTAAAATTTTTTGGAGTGCTGTCTTGGTATTTGTGAAGTTCCTCAGGTGTTCTTTATCATGAAAGCAGTTTATTTCACCATCAATTTCAAAAGATAGTTTTGCAGGGTACATCAATCTTGTTTGAATTTTTTTTTTAACTTGAAATACATCACTTGAAGCTCTTCTTGCCTTGAGCATTTGTGTTGAGAAGCCTTCTGTGATTCTCCTGGGCTTTCCTTTCTATGTGATTTGTTTCTTTTCTCTAACTGCTTGTAGAATTTTGTTCTTTTGTGCTTCTGGGATCTTAGCTATTATATTCCTAGCTGTAGTTTTAAAAAATTTTTTGTCATGGCTAGCTGGATTCCTATATGCATCACTTATCTGTATGTCAAGTTCCTTTCCTCATCTAAGGAAGTTTTCTGCCATTACTTCTGTTAATTTTTTAAATGTCATCTGCACTCTCTCCTGTTTCTTCATTGACTCTGATCAGTCTTATGTTATTCTTCTTTGCATCGTCTAGCAGCTGCTGGATTGAGTTCTTGTGGTTCTTTAGTATTTTTATGAAATTTTTGTTTTGCTGTTCAATAATTGCAATCCTGTCTTCTATATCTGAAATTCTGTCCTCACATTGGCTTATTGTGCTGTGTAAACTATCAATGAAGTTTTTAATCTCCTGGAAATCTGTTTGCATCTGTTTTATGGTTTCCATTATTTTCCTATGTTGGGACTCCATCATGTTCCTCAGCTCCTCTATTTTTTATTTGGGTCTACTCTAGATTTATTAATGACATCTTGCACTATAGGCACAATCTCTGTTGTGAGAAAGTATTTCTGTTATCATTTTTTCCATATCATCTTTCATTGCCAGTTTAGGGACTCCAAGTGGTTGAATATCAATTTGTTCTATCTCTTTGCCCTTTGGGGTTGCCTTAGGTGATTTGGAAGTCTGGTTTTTAGAGTTGCTTATATGTATTCTCATTTCAATAGGTCAAGCTTTCTACATCTTTGTTGAGGCAACTTTTTGCTTACCCAGTGGTCTTTAATTCTCAGCAAGGCATGGAGTAGCCTTTCTCTGCTGTTCACCACTGCACCAATTCATGGGTTGAGGGTGGTGGCTTTCTGGATCCTTGTGTTGTTCTATTGTCTGGGTAGGGTTCTGGCTACAGCCTGTGCACTCTTGGGATGGTATTTGAGCATGCCTCTGTCTAGGTCCTGCCCTCCTACGTAACTGTTTTTTGGTAGGGCCTTTGGCTGGTGGCTGAGCACCCAGTCACTGGATTCTGTGTGGCCTTCTGGCTAGGGTCTGTGTACACTTACAATGGTATTGGGGAAAGCCTCTGGCTGTTGCTTGTGTGCCTGTGCAGCTCTTTTTCCATAGGGCCTTTGGCTGGGATTTGTGGGCCCAAGCTATGAGAGGTTGGGGCATTGCCCTGGCTGGAAGTGCCTGCATTCATGCCACTCTGGTTCATACCAGCTTCTCACTGGGATCTGTATGCACTTACAGGTGGTATCAGGGTGGGCCTCTGGTGGTTGCTTGTGTGCCTGTGCAGCTCCTTTCCCAGCAGGTTTTTGGCTGAGTATTGTGGACCCAAGTGGTAGGGGTGGGGTCCTGGCTAGAAGTGTCTGTAGCCTTACTGCTTTGATCCACATAGGGCTTCTCACTCTGACCCCTACAAGTTAAAGCGGGAAAAGTTTATTTTAGTTCACAGTTTATAGAGGCTTTCATCCATAGCTGGGTTCAGTGCAGGTTAGCATGACAGAGGGGCATTGCAACAGAGAAACAGTCCACAACAGGGTAGGCAGAAGGCAGCGATCCTGCCTTCCAACTTTCCTTTTATATTCCATCTAAGTTACAAACCTATTGGTTAGTACCACCCTCACCCATGGTAGGGCTTCAGATTACCCACCCCCAGAATTATGCTAAACTAATTAGTGGACTAATCCAATTATGATGCACCTGTAATTCATATTCACACACCCTAGATCTAGCTACTTCCAGAAAGCCCCACTTACGAGTGCATGAGGCTTTGGGGGGACATCTAGATACAAGCCGTAGCACATGAATAATGTGTTTGGTTCATGTAAAAAGACAATATTGTTGATAAAGACTAGTTTATAAGGAGTGATTAGGCTCTTCCTATTATGTTTTTGTTTTTTGGGTACCAGGGATTGAACTTGGGACCATGTGCTTATAAGGCATATGGCAGCACCACTGAGCTAAATCCCTGACACTCTCTTTCTATTTTTTGGTTCAATATTCTTAGTGTATTTTCCTTTTCCCTCCTGCTTCTTGACTCATAGCCACACAATGACTAATGTAAGGACAGGTTTAATGTCTACTTTTGATATTTAAAGAATAGAAAAGAATAAAAGAAATGAGAAGTACTGGTTGTCCTTAGTGAGGCCCTGATTTTTAATTTGGCAAAAAAAGTGCTTTTTGGGATGTCTTTCTGAAACTCATTGGCACAAAGTATATTATGTGGGCACTCTTTGCTTTAAGGAAAGTTAGGAAATCACAGTGTAGCTCTCAACCTCCATACTAGAGGAAATCAAGGAGAAGAAATTGTGTTTGACTTTGTGTCAGCCAGTCAACAGTGTCTGCCACATCATTTAATAGGTGCATCAGAAGGATTCAGTGAAATGGTCTATTTTAAAAGTTATATAGAGAATAGTTTAAACAAAGAAATGATTCCTGACCAGGTGTGGTGGTGCACATCTGTAAGCCCAGCACTTGGGAGGCTGAGGCAGGAGGATCACTGCAAGTTTGAGATCAGCCTGGGCTACATAGTGAGTTCCAGGTCAGTCTCAACTATATAGTGAGGCCCTCTCTCAAAAAACAAAAAACAAAACAAAACAAAAAAAGAAAAAAGAAAAAGAAAAGAAATGATTCCTCCTGTCTTCTGTTGGATAGGTTTAAAAATGAGAGTGTATAATTGAATTAATTCATTCTTATTTTGCTTTTGATTTTTTTTGTGTGTTTTAATTTGTAAAATGAACATAGTTCTGCTTTGGGGAAACATTCTATATGATTGTTGTTTTTTGAGGAAGCCTGTATTGGGGAGAGTGTATCTGTTTTCAGTAGTAAAAAAAAATCATGCTGAAGCAACTTGTCATTAATGGGAAAGTAATTGGGGAAAAACAGATCTGAAAAATGACTCTTTGTGATGACTTCATAGATCACAGTTTTTTTCTGGATTCAGAGTTATTACTGGGCAAGAATGAAGTTGTCTCCCCTGTGATACATGAAAAGTAGCAGAAGAAACCTCGACCAGGTTATCTATTGGTTGGCAACCCTAACTTGAACTGAATGGTCTGGCTGGCAGATGAATTTGAAAGTAGGCAAAATATTCAGTATGCATATACTGGAGCTATCACCTTGACGTACAACATGAAGTAGAAGAAATGATCTTCATAGTCACTAGTTTTCAAAGTTATATTGTTATTCTATATGGAAAATAGTAAAAAGATGTTGAGAAAAGGCCACAGAAATTAAGTTGCAGAGATGAGCAAAGAAAGAATAAATGAACAAAATCTTTAATGAGGTTAGAGAGACCTAAAGCATAGAAAATCTTCAAAGAACTTGGAAATAACCAGATGATGTATCATGGGGTTGGAGATTATTACTTCAATTACTTTCAATTTGATGAAAATGGTGATAGTTTATGAAATCTGTCATTTGGGGTGAAATAAGACTGTGGTGTGTTTTTTATTTTGTTTTAGATTTTGGTTTTGCTTCCTGCCTTTCTCTCTCTCTTTCTTTCTTTCTTCTCTTGTAGACATTGTTCGAAGTGATGTTGCCTTGGATAAACAGAAAGGCTGCAAGATTGCTCAGCACCCTGATATTATGCTGGAGCTTCAAAGAGAGAAGGCAGCTCAGATGCATCTGGTTCTTCTAAAGGAGCAATTCTCCAACACTTACAGTAATCTCATATTAACAGGTAAGGCTAATGGAGTTGGCTAGAAACCTGGAGCATTATATTGATGAACTTTGTGAATTAGCAAGTTGATGCTTGAGGGATACTAGTGTGGATTCCAGATGAGCCCACATGTCTGTCTCCACCCACTATCTCATATTTTTAATTATGATGACTTTTGTTTTCCTATAAAAATATTTCTTATGCTTTACGGATATATTTTGGCTAGAAGCTAAAAGTTTTCTCAAAAGACAGGACTAAGGAGAACCCAATGATACTTTGTAAAAAATGTGGCTTTAGATACGTGCCAGCAGATTTGAAAGAATGACCAAATTTGGTTGATATCTTTTAAGAAGCATCTATTTTCCACTTTCTGTGTATGCCCCTTCCATGAACCCAATATAAAGATGAAATGTAAAAGAGATACTAATAGCTGAGACTACTTATGCCTAATGGTATCTGAAAATATCTGGGGAATTTTATTTTCTTTTTAAGAGTACAGAGGCTATGCTATTGAGCCATAATCCCTTATATCTATAGTTCTAAGAAAGAAAATGTATGTTAGAGCTACAAAGAGCTACAAGATTTTTCAGGGCTTCCTGCAAACTTTTCTGGTAAAGAGCATGCAAGTCTCATTCATTAGTTAAGCTTTGGAATAGATTGTATTTAATCACAGACTCTAATGTGAGAATCACTTAGAATTTGAGATAAATTAAGAAGAGCAGTCCTACTTACCTTCATTTTCTTGAGAGCATGCAAGGCACATCTACTTATATCTCAGTGAACTTTAACAAATCAAGTGTGTGTTACCTTATTTATGAATATTAAAAAAGAAATGGATGTAATATCTGACAGGCTATGAACATCTCTCACACTCACTTTTGTAAACTCCAAGTCAGGAGAATTTTAACTTTTTAAATAGACTTCTTGGTATTTCACCAGAAATTGCTGAGTGGCATCCAAATTGTTTTGCTTTTCAAAGAGCACAAGACTCTTTCCACTTTTCATTTGGACCTGGTGGAAAACTCAAAAGCATGAGATGAAAGCCAGATTTAAATGTGGCTTTGGTGAAAACAGCAGAGGATTATGAATTTCATAAATATATGCCCTGCTTTTTGCTGTTTGATAAATCATTAAGCAAGGAACACTTAAGAGTAATTTATGGCCAATGAATGTATGTCCCTAAAGTGGTTAGTGGAACTGATTTTAAGTTTAAGTGTTTAGGAAGAACATAAATTTTTCCCTAAGTTTCTTCAGCCTATCACTATAAATTTTATATCTATATTAATCTATATCTACCTATCTCTGTATATCTTTCAATTAAATGATTGGAAATGAAATGTTTTGTTCTATCCTTCTTTTTAATATTTTTAGACATATATTACCCTGTGTTCTTTAATGTGGCATAGAAAAGTCTTAGGGTAATTCTAAGCCTAAACTGTGGATCCAGCTTGTGGCTCAAAGGCATATTATCTTTGAAACACAAGTATTCTATTGAGTTCAATGGAATCTTTTCTAATTCTCAGTAACATAATCCCTTTGGATGTTTATTCACAGTTCAAAATGTTGGAATCAACATTGTCAACTTTTACCCTGACAACTTGCTTACTTTCTACTAAACAAACTTACCCTAGAGAAGAGGCTCTTTCCTGCTCTCACTTCTCCCTAGCTGCTTCAAAGAGTTCTCAGGCATTTTCCACATTTTTCACCCAAATGCTTGTACAGAGGTGGTACCTTGCTGCAAACCAAGCATTTTGTGTGCCCTGGTTTATTTACATGAAAGTTTAAAAACTTTTGGTTTCAGGTGTTGGGAAGAGATGGCATCATTTCAGTTTAGCACCTATAAGCTATTTTAATGTCATTTAACTAAGTCTTTGATTTTATACAGTGTGGTTTTCTAATTGTTATGAAGTTTAATCCTTGATTTCTTATATAAATCTTGAGAACATGGTCTCCAGACAGCTAAACATAATATTTAAACATAACTAAACTAAGTTTTGTAAATATTTCCCTTTTCAGTGATGAATGTATATTGGTAAGGAGGGTGAGGTTGAAGGAGCAGAGACCTTTCAAATGAAGTGACTTTCTTTACCAACACATTCAGAACACCTACTCTTGTACTTCTGATTGGTGATATTCTGCTTATTTTGTATAATTCTGGCATAATGTATGAAATATTTGTACAGCAGTGTTTATATAGGAATATGATGAGGAAATTGAGCCACTAAAATCTCAGAAAGATCTTTTTCAACCCCCTTCCCATTATTTACAGAATTTCATATATATGAGTAGGAGTATATAATTGTTTCCTAACCAGGAAGTGGTATATTCTTTATTTTTAAGGTGGGACAACCAAGATCTGACATGGTAAAAAAATTAATAATGTGTTCAAAATGCATTTAAAAGCATGTTCTAACAAGAAAGTGCTTATTTTTGTGTTTCTTCTTTAGCTGATTGGACTATTAGCTGTTACAATGACAGCATGTTTTCATATGATATATTTCAGCTAATGATCCTTTTAAAATAGCTGTCCTTCATATAAAGGCAAAGGATATTCCAGCTTTGTAGGTCTTTTAATCATTTTCTAAAAGAAAACAACCCTACAGTCAGTGATAATGACAGATAAGGGAAATTAACACAAAATATGAATTATATGTATAATATAATATAAGATTATATTATATATCATATTATATTATGTAATATATATTATATATCATACATATTATATATTATATGTTATATATAATATATATATATATTCTGTTGAATTAGTCCTCAGTACATTGTACTTCTACAAAAGTGGATTGTTTTCATGTATTTTTGCATAAATTTGAACTTATCTTAATGTTCTAATGTGAATGATTCATAATATATTGGAAGTAATTTTGTCTTTACCTGGTTTACAGGGTTTTTGTAATAAACTTGAAGGTCCCTGGAGGGTGATGAAGTGATTCCAGTAGAGGATCCATTATGGGGATAATTTAAATGGCTCAGAGTAGTGTGCTACATTTTTCACACTGACTCATTGCTACAGTTATATATGCTTGTCCTGCAGTTTTCAGAGTATGAGAGTATTGTTACTGTGCACGTCACTGAAGGAGTGGCAGAGGAAGGCAAATGAGTGGAGAGAATTGGCAGAAGCCTTCAGGAAAGAACAGAGAACAGATGTCTTATACTTCTTTGTGCTTTCATGATTCTTAATATAGTAATGCTCTATAAATTTGTTGAAAATGTTCTGTTATATATAAAATGAATTAATTCACCTGAAGATTACTTTTAAAGGTATAATATCCGTATGTTTTAAATAATTTCCACAGGTTCAGATTCAGTCATTTATATTCCATCCCCTCTCTCTCTTCCTGTTTTAAAGGTATAAAGTGAACTTTTCTGGTAGATTCCTATAATGTAATAAATAAAAAATATTAAAAATTAAGTCAGCTTTAAAGAGAAATATATTTTGTAGGATTGTTTTTAGAATAAAAATCCTGGAGGGCATTCTGGATAATATGTAGAGAATGGTAAATGATCATTAACTGAGGTCAGGTTTTTAACAATGTATTTGTGTGATGAAGTGATCTAGTCAAGTTTTTATATACAGGTGCTTGAAACCATGAAGCCACTATAAATGGAAGGAATTACTCAAGATAGATTCCATTATTCCTGGATTCTTATGTTATTGGCTGTCATTTTGCATTTGCACCTCTTTTTTCAGTCATTAGACTGAACTAGACTGGGATTTCTGTGGTCTGCTTTCCTGTGTTATTTTGGCAAATGAATTGAACAAAAAATTTTGCTTCTCTGTTACAGTCCATTCTGCTAACGTCAGCTGAGCTAAAGGGCTCAAGGTCTAAAGGTTCACTATCAGTGAACAAGAACTGTTCTTTTAGTTCCCAAATCATAATACTCAGGTGACTATTTCTAAGTAGGCATAATGCCACAATAGCCAACACAAAGAAACAATTTATGAGTTGAATTCTTTCTCTGTAGCACCTTTCTTGATCATTCTAGCCTGAAGTGATATTCTCTTCATTTTCACTGTTATTTCACAATTGTCTGTTCCATCAATTTGGCAATTTCCACCAATAACTTTTGATATCAATTGTTTCAAAATTAATTTTGTTAGTGGTTTAAAAACATTTTCATTCTTTGTTTGTTTGTTTGCTTTTTTTTTTTTTGAGAAAAGGTCTCACTATGTAGTTGAGACGGACCTGGAACTCTATGTAAGCCCAGGCTGGTCTTGAACTCACAGCAATCCCCCTGCCACAACCTCCCACGTGCTGGGATTACAGGCCTGCTTGACCACACCCAGCTAATACTTGCATTCTTTGTTTTGTTTTGTTTTGTTTTTCTTTTTATTGAGTTTATTGGTACAGTCTAGGTATACAATACAGTTATGTTTATCATTGGGATCCTGTACCTTTACATAATAGGTCTTGATTTTCATTTTTTCCCCTTGTCCCTACCCTCCCTTCATCCCCTCCTCCCCTCCCCATTTAAAAACACTTTATTTCCATTTTTTCAGTTTCTCATATTTTTTTCCTCTCCCTTATTACCTTTCCCCCACCCTTCCCACTTTCACTACCCCTTTAGCCCTTTACTTCCTATTTCACATTATTAATTATCTTATTAGGATCCTGTGACTATTATAGTTTTTCACACCAGAGAACTTGTAGTCTTATCTTATTCTTTTTTTCATTATTTAGAGAATACTTTTTAGTTTCTGTAATCAAACTCACATAGATATGACCTTACATATTTAGTACAATGTGTTACCCCTGTACAAATGGAAAAATAAAAATAAAAAAAATTAACATTTCTAGACCAATATGGCTGTCCATTTCTGTACAATGCCAACTCAACACAGTAAATTGGGATAACTTTTTCCAAAGTTGACAGTACCATTAAAGTTTCCCAAAATTCAATTTATTTATATATATATTTATATTTATATAAAAAGACTAATAATAGCAGCAGGTTATGCATTGATAGCGGCAACAGCTTTTCCAGGTTCTGCAGTCATC